CGAGCCGTAGGGAAGTGTACTCACCACACATGCCATGTAGACCTGCGTGCCTTAGTGCGCACTGTCAGTTTGTCATTTTCCCGAACGCGCTTTGTGAGCCTGGCCAGTGTTGTTGAGGCCTTCCCAATACGCCTGTTGAGCTCAGTGTCCAAGGAAAGGGTGTCTGAGATTGTGAAGCCCAGGTACACAAACTCGTTGACCGCCTCCAGCACATAGTCTGCTATATTTATACAGGGTAGCTCATTGACGTCTTGTCTCATCACCTGTGTCTTCTTCAGGCCGATTGTGTGTGTGGTGATCGCTGCGTCGTCGGCGAAGAGGAACTCCCTGAGGATTCGCATCTGTACTTTTGTCTTTGCTCGGAGTCTGTATAGACTGAAGAGCTTTCCATCAGATCTTGTACGGAGATAGATGCCCTCTGTGGTTGTTCCAAAGGGATGCATGACGAGGATCGCGAAGAAGAAGCCGAACAAGTTTTAAGCAAGAACACACCCCTGTTTAACACCACTGTTGATGTTGAATGGTTCAGAAGATGAGCCGTCGTACACGACCGTGCCCTTCATGTCCTCGTGGAACGATTGTATCATGCTGAGTAGGGTGTGTGGGCAGCCAATTTTGGCCAAGATCTTGAAGTATCCGTCAATGCTCACGGGGTCGAAGGCCTTTGTAAGACAATGAAAGCAATGTACAGGGCTTTTCTCTGCTCCCTGCACTTTTCTTGAGGCTGTCTCAGGGAGAACACCATATCAATGGTCGACTTCTCGGCTCTGAAACCACACTGTGACTCTGGGTACACCCTTCCAGCAAGAATCTGGAGCCTGACCAAGACGACCCTGGTGAAGAGTTTGCCGACGACGCTGAGGTGGGAGATGCCGCGATAGTTGTTGACATCGCTTGTCACCTTTATTTTCATAGAGAGTGATGATGTACGCATCTCTCATGTCTTGGGGCACCGAGCCCTCCCTCCAGCACTGGCACAGAAGTTCATGAAGCTTGGTTTTAAGTATTCCACGAGCGCACTCGAGAACTTCAGGCGAAATCCCGTCGTCTCCTGGGGCCTTCTTTGAGGAAAGTGGATCCAGCGCTTTCTCAACTTCTTCCACAATCGGTTCAAGGTCAAATTATATTTTATATATATATATATATATATATATATATATATATATATATATATATATATATATATATATATATATATATATATATATATATATATATATATAAAATAGTAGATAAGTCATTTACATAAATGAGAAATAGTGTGGATCCCACCACTGTTCATCGAGGTACACCGTTTGTTTCTCTACGCAAGTCCGATTCCTTGTCCCTCAATGTGTTTCTCTGACTCCTATTGGTTAGGTATTCCCTTACCCATGTCAGTGCTCTTTCATTTACTCCCGCCTGCCTCTCAAGTTTGTGTAATAATCTTTTGTGAGGTATTGCGTTATAGGGCGTTTGACAGTCCAGAAATGTACAATCTGTCCAACTTTCTCTCTCTCTCTTGCTTTATTTTCGTTACGGCGTCATAGAATCCCGGGAGATTCGTCAGGTATGATTTCCCTTCCAAAAAGCCGGAAGGAGATGCTTGTCAGTGACATTGGTATGTCATTAAGTGGCTCTTGTCTATCTTCTTTCTTGAAAATTAGTACCACACCTGTCTTCTTCCAGCAGCTGGGTAATTCTCTCTTTATAATTTACTCATTACGGATGCTAGAGGTACGCTGAGGGTCTGTGTTGCTTCCTTTAACACTCATGGTGATACTTTGTCGGGTCCAGGAGCTTTAGTTTCATCCAGTGATGCTAATTGTTACCTGAGCTCCTCTGTTGTCACCTCAATATTTAACAATCTCTGATTTAGGGTTATACCTCCTCTTTTAGGACTGGGAGCTCTTCAGGCTCAGTTGTGTGCGTGTGTGTATGTATGTTTATATGTGTGTGTGTGTGTGTGTATATATGTACTTGTGTGGGTATGTATGTGTTTGTGTACAACTGCAGGTGTATATGCAAGCGTGTGTGCCGTCCAGTTCCAGTGTCGAGAGCTATCCTGAATCATAATGAGATGACGACTTATACTCTACCCTCGTGTTGGCTGTTGGGACACTCCTGCACTAGCAGATCCCTTCACCCCCCCACCCCACACCTGCCCCCCACACCTGCCCCCCATCCCAACCCCCAACACCACACACACACACGTTCAGACTCTCCTCAGGCGACTGACCCTTCTTCATGTGTGAACAGTTCAAATTATATCAAAATGAAAACATAGAGGCAATGGCATTTAATCCACCTGAAACTATAAATCTTGATAGATCCTCCTGGATTGTAAATCTGCAAGAGTAAATGTCTGTAAAAGGGAAAATTGCAAAACTGTAAGTTTATATCTGATTATGATTTAACATCAATTGAGCTTCCACAGTTCACGATACATAAACACATTGAAATGGAACAAGTTTTTGACAGCCCCCCCCCCTAACCGGCTGCATTTAGGGGGGCCTGACGGCTAAGTGGACAGGGCTCGGGACTCGTAGTCCTATGGTCCGGGGATCGATCCCCGGTGGAGGCGGAAACAAATGGGCAGGGTTTGTTTCACCCTGATGCCCCTGTTCACTTAGCAGTAAATAGGTACCTGAGAGTTAGACAGCTGCTACGGGCTGCTTCCTGTGTGTGTGTGTAAGGACACACACACACACACACACAGAACTGTCTTTAGAAACTTGTGTAAGGAATCGTTCAGGATCTTGTATACCACTTATGTCAGACCCATACTGGAGTATGCAGCTCCAGCCTGGAGTCCATACCTAGTTAAACACAAGACAAAGTTAGAGAAGATTCAGAAGTATGCCACCAGACTAGTTCCGGAACTGAGAGGTATGAGCTACGAGGAAAGGATAATTAAGGAAGATGAACCGCATGTCCCTGGAAAACAGAATAGTAAGGGGAGACATGATAACCACCTTCAAAATTCTCAGGGAAATTGACAGGGTGGACAAAGACAAACTCTTTAGCACGGGTGGAACATGAACAAGGGGCGCACAGGTGGAAACTTTGTACCCAAATGAGCCACAGAGACATTAGAAAGAACTTTTTCAGTGTCAGAGTAGTTAACAGGTGGAATGCATTAGATAGTGATGTGGTGGAGGCTGACTCCATACACAGTTTCAAATGTTATATATGATAGAGCCCAGTAGGCTCAGGAATCTGTTCACCAGTTGATTGACAGTCGAGAGGCCGGACCACAGAGGCAAGCCCAAATAGGTGAGTACAAGAAAGAGATGGATGAGCAGACTGCATTTTCTTGGACGGTCAGAAAGCTTTTGATACAGTACCCCATAAGAGACGGTTGCATAAGTTGGAGAAACCAGATTTATTACAGAACTGTATAATCACCTGCGCACGTTGCGCTGTGTTCAGCTGCGCGAACTGTATTATCTTCAGCACGCGTGCCACAATGTTTCGTGTCAATTTTACCCTGTTATTGAACGCAACAGTTGCAAGCATTATTTAGCTGTTGCTAGAACCTTGAACCAGCAGCAGCATCCTTGTACTTGCGGGAGGGGCGGGGGGGTGAGGAGGGGGGCTGTGGGAGGGGAGGAGAGAGGGGGGGAGAGGGGGGAGGGGGAGAGGGAAGGGCATGAGAAGGATGGGGGGAGGGAGGGAGGGAGCAAATGGATGGGAAGTAGAGAGGGGGGAGGGAAGCAGAGAGGGAATCAAATTCTTCAGATAGCCAGAAAAAGGTTCGCTACTACTAACAGTCACTGCCTAATAGGACGGGCTGAGTGTATGATCACTACCTGATCATGTAGGTAAGTGTATGATCATGTAGGTAAGTGTATGATCTTGTAGGTAAGTGTATGATCTTGTAGGTAAGTGTATGATCTTGTAGGTAATTCATGAGGAAGTCAACATTTTATACAGCAAGGCAGGTTTGGTTCCATCTCCCGATATACCATTAATCCTTCTCCAATCACCAAGATCTTCCTTATGTCCCATCACCCAGAGCCTCCTTGTCACCCATCACCCAGAGCCTCCTTGTCACCCATCACCCAGAGCCTCGTTGTTGTCACCCATCACCTTTAGATAGAAGTGGCACCGATATTCAGATTCGCGGCTGTGATGCCCTCAGCAATATATATACATATATATATATTGATACATATATATATATATATATATTGATATCAATATATATACATATATATATATTGTATATATATATATATATATATATATATATATATATATATATATATATATATATATATATATATATATATATATATATATATATATATACCCTTGAGTTAGACAACTATTATGGGTTGCATCCTTGGTAAGGTCAGTGAGTTGATCTAGCGTGACCTCCATCAACATAAGGAGTTTCCTGTTCCCTTGAGGAACCAATTAGGTAAACAACAGTTAACGAGGCTAACTACTGACATTTTACGAGGCCTTGTCTACATTGGTCCTGGGGGATAATATACAGAGCAATTATTGTCTCCTGGCTAACACTGTGGCAGCTGCGCTCTCATGCCGATGGGCCCGGGTTCGGGGCCCCCATCAGGCAGGCCAGAAACATTTGGGTGTCGTTTTCTTGTTCACCTCATGCACCTGTTCGCATAGCGGCCAAATAGATAGGCCTGGGCGTTATAGGCAGCTGTTGTGGGTTGCAATCTGGGAAAGGTTATTTAAGTTGGCCTAGAGGGAGCAATTAAGGCTAACTACAGGCTTCCTGTTCAGCGATAATGAGGATTAATGTCCATGCGCTTTCGTGCGTATCTGCAAGCTGCGCAGATCTACATATTGCGCAGACCTACACACTGCGCAGACCTAACACACTACACAGACCTACACACTGCGCAGACCTAACACACTGCGCAGACCTACACGCTACACAGACCTACACGCTACACAGACCTACACACTGCGCGGAACTACACACTGCGCAGACCTAACACACTGCGCGCATCTACACACTGTTATAATATAGACTATCTTTCCAGATCAGGAAGAGCAGGAGGGCAAGCTATGGTCCAACGGGTGCGGGGCCGCGGCTGCCACCACCTTCCTCTACATCTACGGCAACTTGCTGGTGATGGACCAGATGCCCGTAGACCCCCGCGTGCAGTCGTGGGCGTTCGTCTCCTCGCCCACGCCCATCCTCGCTATCTCCCTGGCGTACATCGCGGCCGTGACGTGGCTGGGCCCGCGACTAATGCGCCACCGCGAACCTTTCCGCTCCCTCAAGCCCGTGATGATCGTCTACAACGCGTTCCAAGTCGTCTTCTCCGCCTGGATATTCTACGAGGTGCGTATGTGTCTACTCTACGAGGTGCGTATGTCTTTTCTGGCTGCACGAGGTGCGTATATGGGTTTACTGACTTGTACAATGTGCGTATTAGTCTACCGTCTCTCAGATCCATACATGTCTAGTGGCTCTGTGAGCTGCGTGTATGTCCACTGGAAACATGCGATTGGGTGGGAGGACTTGGAAACGTACGCTTGAGTGGCGGACTTGGAAACGTACGCCCAACGCTGGTGTGAGTGAAAGGAGTACTTAGCTCCAGCCGGGGAACTCCAAGCGCGTGCTTAGAATGCTGACCCCAGGCTTAGTGGCGCCCAAACCTGGCTTGATGTTGGTATAAATGGCTTAGTGGGGGCCACACCTGGCTTGATGTTGGCACAAATGGCTTAGTGGGGTCCAAACCTGGCTTGATGTTGGTATAAATGGCTTAGTCGGGTCCAAACCTGACTTGATGTTCGTATATCTGGCTCTGTGCTGCTACACCGGGCTTGCTGCTGCTGCTGCTGCGTAACAGGCATTGCTACACGCAGCTGCAGATGAAGAAGCGCAACAGTGCGGAACAAAACGTGACGGACAGCTTAGACATGACCCTATCCGGCCCACTACCAACATGTGTGTGTGTGTGTGTGTGGGTTGACCCTTGAGCAACTGGAAGCACTTATACATATACAAGGCCCCGTCCACAGGATCCCTCCCCCCCCCTCTCCCCATCACACTAATGGAAAGAGCGCTGCTGCAAGCAGCACCAGCAGCAGCAGCAGCAGCAGCAGCAGCAGCAGCAGCAGCAGCAGCAGGAAGGGAACCTCAAGGTACTGCTTCCAGTGGCTAGTGAACCAAACAAAACAAAAAAAACTCGTTTTTACCAATGTGTTTCACTCGTCATAAAAAAAACAAGTCAAGGCTGCCCTCATCTCTCTCAGCGTGGTTAATGCTGCACAAAGTGAGGTGTGTGTGTGTGTTGAAGACAACGTTGCTTGCACATAGTGGGTGTCTAATACGTAAAGTGGTGTCGTAGTGTGTGTAAAGTACACCTCCTACTTTAGATCACTTCTAGCGGGGTCAGGTGTCACACCTACAGAGGTGTGGCACTATCTGCACCCGACGCCTCATTAATTCTAGGAACATTAAGGCTTCCATAATCCTGGTGAATGATATATATTACTGACTATATAGGACTTTGACACTCGATTTATTTATCATATATATATAATGATAAATCTATATATACATTTGCATATAACACCTGTTCATGTATCCCTCCATCTATCCATCAATACATCCATTTATAGATCTACCTATTTATCCATATATCTATCCCTCTATCAGTCCATCTGTGTATCCACTTAAGTGTCCATCTATCCATCTACCTTTCTATCCATCCATCTATTCATCTATCCATCTACTCATCTTTTTGTCCGTCCATTCATCCATCAATAGATCCATCTATTCATCCATCTATCCATCTGTCAATCCATCTATCATCTACTGAATCTATTCTTCAAGCTACTTATCCCTCTATCGATCTATCAATACATCTATCTACTGTCTGAATCTGTCTCTGTCTCCTGTCTCCCTCATATATATATATATATATATATATATATATATATATATATATATATTAAGAGCTCCTGGAACCACATATATACGTTTCAGGCAAAGCAAAAGAGACCTCTCGACTTGGCATCAGAATAGTAAGGTAAAATTGGGTATAGAAAGGTTAAATTTTGTTAGAATAAGTTGACATGGTGTGGGTGTCAAGGTCTTCTGACTCACAGGTCAGTCATGTGAGGAAAGTCCTATAGTGACTCTCAGTGGCAGAGAGGAGGTGTACTAATGGCCTTCAGAGGCTGAGATAAAGTGAACATGAATGTATTAACCTTTGACCTTTGACCTCGTTTGTCTTCCCTCCCTTTGGCAGGCCGGCATGGGGGGCTGGTTCGGGTCGTACAACATCCTGTGTCAACCCTGCGACTTCTCAGACAGCCCTCAGGCCATCAGGGTAAGATATTCCTTCAGTATTCTCAAGATCTGAACCCATACAACAGTACAAATCCACACAAGGGTCCACGGCACTTGTGAATTCGTTTATTTGATACATCACGCTATTGTGATTTGTGTGTGTAATACAGTAATATTTCTTGTTTAGCCTTGATTGATGCTGGAGTCCAGCCTATAATTTCAAATGATATGCTGGACTTTATGCTTCAAAGATGTACATAAAACCATATATATACATATTTTTAATCAATTTTGTTCTCGAAAAATAATTTATTACTGTTATTGATCATTTAATGTTCGATAACATTATTGGTCATTGATCTATCACCATCACTAAATAATGTCATCATCAACACTATAATAATGTGACGGAGGTAAAAGGATGGTGATCAAGATGGAGGAGCAAGTAGGGATAACTGGGAAGACCCTTGAACTGTTCAAGGGGAGTACCTAAAGGACAGAAGACAGAAGTGCAGAGATTAGAGATTTCGAGGAGGAGGAGGAGGGTACTAAGCAGAGCTCCCCAAGGGTCGGTCTACGGGGCCCCGACTGATGTTAATTCATGTGATAGTCGAGAAGCTTACAGGAGAGACCTTGACTAACTACAGGAAAAGCTGCTCGAATTAAATCCCAACAAGTGTAAGGTAATGAAGATGGGAAAAGGTGAGAAAGAAAACCCAGGAAGTATCTACACTTTCTGGAGTCAGAAAGAAAATACGATATGGGAGTGGATTTCCAACGTTAACTCCAAACGCACAAATGCTGCCTATGTTATCTAGTGTTTATGTTCGTCTGATGATACTGGAACTAAATATTATCTAACTCCCATATCCATTTATCTAATTCCCACAATTACCTTCCCCTTGTCGTATAGATTCCTTCAGTTTTTCCTTTGTCTCTGTTCCTCTTCATTATCTTACACTTATTGGGATTGAATTCTCTCAACCATTTGTTTGACCACTTCTGGAGTTTGTCAAGTTAATTTTGTACCTTTCTGCAGTTTCCTCGTGTTTTAATTCCTCATTTATCTTTGGCTGGGATGCGAACTTTGGCATGTACGAGCAATTTTCCTCATGTAGGTCATTCACATAAATTAGGAACAGCAGGGGCACCTAGTGCCTACCCTTGTGGAACGCCTCTTGCTCCCTTCCTTCAACTCCAAGTATCCTGGAACTTGGAGTTGTAGTTCCAAGTCTTGTACTCTAGGCTTCCATGAGAAATAGTATCAAATGTCATTTGACTGACAATCTTTGTAAATACAGTCTACAAGTCTTTTTCTGTGTGTGTGTGTGTGTGTGTGTGTGTGTGTGTGTGTGTGTGTGTGTGTGTGTGTGTGTGTGTGTGTGTGTGTGTGTGTGTGCGCGCGCGTGAGTGCGTGAGTGTAAATTTCACTAACTTTCGTATTATTCACAGATGGTGCATGCAGCATTCTGGTATAATTTCTCAAAATTCGTCGATTTCATTGACACGGTAAGTTGACTTTCCTGTAATAAATATCTTACCACAACTTTCAAAAGATTGTTAAGGTTCTCTTTCCTTCATTACAATTATGTCTAAGCTGCAGAACAGAAGCGGACACGCAATAAGGCGTTTATCCTCCACAAAACCCTAATTTAACCACCCGGTCAAAATCCAACCGTTTTGCCTAACTAGAAACCTCCAAACCCTAAGAGTCCCCCCCCAAGCTATAACCTATGGAGTCCGATGCATAGAAAATGGAAATAATCCTAGACTTGAATTTGTATTAATACGTCATATTTATAACGAATTGTTCATTTCCTTAACCCAAAAGACTGAGACGTGATAAGTGAGAGGACAGGCTTGTACAAACGAATCACTAATTGGTTGAATTTTAGATTTTATCGGCCTTTATCAGGTCTAAATGATATCCCCCTTTGTTGGACGTCTCTCAGAGCTACAATGATCAACCTCCCAAATCTCTTCGCTGTGGTGATGTCCAAGATTTTCGGTCTAATTTCACCATTTTCAAGCCACATTCTCACGTGGGAGAATGGATTGAGTGAGCTGGATTGACTAAATCAAGTACCTTTCATTTAAGATTCGTTGGCAAACGAAAATTATACATATTTAGGTTGATGTATAAATTGCATTATATTCTGCAGTGGAGTAATTCAGTTCCTCTTTAAAAGCATATATTTTTAAGATATGTTCTTCGTGGTTTTTGAGGCATGGGGCATAAGCATTATCAGAGGACAAGAATTATATCTACAAAAGAGAGGTATACTCCGTTTTTCTTTGTATATACACAGTTGACTTCAGTCCTGGAATATATCAGGACTGAGGTATACTCACTGGTTGATTAGTAGACGAGTGTCCCAGCCTTAACAACCCTTCAGAGGTTGATTGGCTCTGAATCCATCACCAAACAGTACTAAAATTAGGCTGACGACGACTCACAATAACGGGGCTGAAGACATGATGACCAAACTACAACATCTGAAGACAGAGAAACGACGACGTTTCGGTCCGTCTTGGACCATTATCAAGTATCTTACACACAACTTTATAGTGGTCCAGGACGGACCGAAACATCATCGTCGTCTCTTCATCTTCTGATGTGTGCTTTGGTCATCAAAACTAAAATTAATAACAATTATTTAATGTATAACTTACCAGCTAAATCAATTATTATACATACAGTGTAGGTCAGTGTATTTGTGATGTTTAGTTTACGTGCAAAGTAGTCCTCAGTGTATACTTGTATAGAGTACAGGCAAGTGTGCTTGTATACACAATAGGAGAGTATACACGAATACAATATACTCTTCTCCACTATCATTCAATCAATATGAAAACAAAATCAATTGAAAAATATCTTGGGTTAGTTTAAATATTAAATTCAGTGCTAAAAAATCCATCTAGTTTGGAGAGGATTTCAATCATAGCTTAAAACCGTAATTTATTTCGATACATGTTAAATATTTAATAATAGTTCGTAATATTTCTAAAGTATTATATGTATTTTATATCATTATAATTTTATTTAATTAATTTCCCAGAATTATGTAGCAATGTATAATGTTTCATTGTACAGTTGTATGCCGCCATAGTCTACAGACACTCAGAGATCACTTAAGAACTTTGTACAGTACTAAGTTATATTTCCTGGGTGGTCAGAATGTGCTCATACATATCAATATACACTATATTATATATAATATATAATATATATATATATTTCAATTACCCTTCACATTTTACAGGCCTTAAACCCAACATTCAACATTTTTCTGTTTTCATTTTTGTAATTAGTCCTTGAATATTTGCAGATATTTTTCATCCTGAATAAGAAATATGGTCACATCTCTCTCCTCCACGTGTCTCACCACGCCCTGATGCCCATCGGTGTGTGGTATGGAGTCCGTCATGAACCAGGTAACGAACCTCCACTGGTTTTCCTCCAATGAACCGGGTTAGAATTTCTGTAGGTCGTTTCCCATCAATGAACCAAGTCAGAGTGCATTAATGGGAGAGTTCATACATTCTCACTGATTTCTCACCATGAACGTAGTTCCCATTGCTTCTACCATATAATGATCATAGGTCACATTCCCCATTGGTCCATCTCTTATTCGTTTGAATATTTCTTATTGGTTTCTCAAGCGTTTCTTCCCAGTGGTATTAAACGAAGCGTGGAAAGTCCACTTGAATTTCCACAGTCCATTCACTTGCATTAGTGTGTACAGCGACGGCCTCGCTTCTAGCAAGTCTAGGTTCGACCCTGGATGGTTAGAAGCGGTTGGGCACAGTCTTCCTCCCTTACCTTGTGCTGGTTCCAGGAATCAATGTAACCAAGCCAGAGCTGCATGTGTACAGTTACTCCAAATATATTTTTTTCTAATTTTCCGTAAGTCAAATCGGTGTTTTGACTCATTCATACTGTTCATAAGCGAGGATTTCGGGTTGGATTTCCAGGCAGGACAAAAATGGTTGGGTACGTTTGAATTCATCTAATTCTGCCTTATTATTTGGATTCTGCCTGCCTGGCCCTGTGTCCACTTAGCAGTAAACGAGCACAGAGAAGTCAAGCAATTATTGTGGGGTTGCATCTTGGAGAGGGTCAGTAGTTCATCCTTGGAGAGTACCTCCATTCAAACCTGAAAACACATAATTCCCAATTCGAAGATCAATTTTTCCTGTCCACACTTCTATTCTCAGTGTGGCACCCTTATCAGGGTGCCACACACCCTGCCCTGCCATACCTAGTGTATTCCCTGAGGAGGACGCCACACTCTGCACTTCCCTGCTATCTTCTGCCACTGATCCGTCACAATATACATGTAAATTATAAATTATTGTAAAGTAAATTGTAAATTATAAATTATATATATATGTAAATTATAAATTATAAATTATTGTATTATTCTCTCTTGGTGACTGAGCTATCATGCCTCCATGCAAGCACCGTAGTTGACCCGGATCATGCCTCCATGTAAGCACCGTAGTTGACCCGGATCATGCCTCCATGCAAGCACCGTAGTTGACCCGGATCATGCCTCCATGCAAGCACCGTAGTTGACCCGGATCATGCCTTGGCTATTCATCCTGAAGGCCACAGTTAATGTCTACTGTTTGCACTTTTCAGGGAAGAGTTCGACTATTCTGTCGAGGTATTTGCTGATCAGATATTTTGCCCTAGAGGGCTCGAGTATCTAGATACTGTCGATTATTTGCTAATCGTCTCGAGCAATATATCTGTCTCTTTGAAGGCTGTAGGTCACTTAAATCAGTGTGAAAGCTTTTGACATGAATTGATGCCCAAGTATTATAAAAAGTTCATACACGCACTGCCTCTTTAACTGCATTTTTCATTGTACTTTAATCATTGTATTTCTTTGTCACCAAAATAATTATCTCTATAGTCTCTATAAGGGACGGAACAGTGATTTTAACCTCCGCAAGAGCTTTAGGAGAAAATGCAAGTACCTGTGGAGGCTGCACTCGAGCTGAAAAGATGATGACATGATATATTTCAGCGTTTTTAGTGTGGGATGTGTATCCAACACTCACACCTCCAGATGAACGCGGCTCGGCTGAACGCCTCTGAATACCTTCATCTTCATCTGATGCGCCTCTGAACGCTCAGAGGCACATCAGCCTCAGTTCCTTACCTCAGGAACTGAGGTAAGGTCCTTCAACTCTGAATGGTAAGGAACTGAAATGCCTCAGTTCCTTACCATTCAGAGTCTTACAGGTTCACGTTCTCTACGGTTATATTAGTTTATTCTTCATTTACAACTTACTCTAGCTTGTGGAAGGTTGATCCAAGTATGCTTAGAGAGGTTGTAGTTTTGTTAGCAGAGAGAGAGAGAGTTTAGGGGCATTCCATCATTAAACAATATACTTCCTATTTAATCCCAAATAATTTCATTAAGTAATCCCGACTCATTATATATTGGTTCCCATTTACAGCCAATTTCATAGGCAAATCGGTCATTGTTAATTCTGGAGTGTTTGTTTGCAGGCCCTTACCAGCGAAACACACACCGAAACTACGACGTTGGTACAACATTCGAACAAGTTTTAACACCACCTAACCAGTTATAACAACCAATATAGCAAATTGTAACAACGTTCTAATACGTCATAAACACGTTAAGCTAAGATGTAACAACTTTATTACAAGTTGTAACAAGCGGAAAATAAAGACAGTTTCGGTTTGTGTTTCCAGGGTTAACGTCTATCATTGATATCACTGATTCAATTATTTTAAAGTATAGAGTTATCATTCCATTCACCTGGTTGGTATAGGGTCTCGAACCGTAGACTCCACGTGGGTGAGTCGGTAGCTCTCTCAACTCGGCTATGAGCATTGAGATTGTTGATTGTATCTTGTAGTCGAGATTGTTGATTGTATCTTGTAGTCGAGATTGTTGATTGTATCTTGTAGTCGAGATTGTTGATTGTATCTTGTTGTCATCTTTTTGAGCTCCAGCATCCACTTCTCTCACTGTGACCTCGTCACTCGGGCAGCAACAGGCAACAGTGACGAGGTTTCACAGTCGTTTCACTGTTATCTGTTGCCGGAGCACGACGAGTTTATGGTTAACATTTAAGCCACGCATTCCTGTCGTTCCCTGGTGTTATTTGGTGTTAATGCGGCTGTTATTCCGTCGTGCTGGTGAAGAGTTGTTCTCGCCTGTTCTGCAACAGTTTATTGCTAGGGGGGGGGCGGGGGTGCCTACATCCTCGGCACAGTGCCACGCGTGACTGAACCAGCATTGTGGACGCCAATGTCACTGTAGCAGTGCCAGGACTCTTGGTGCCCGAGTTGAATTTTGCTGGCAGTGTGGACCTCCTACTCACTATTCTCAAAAAACATTTAGCGACTAAATTACAAAAGTGTCTAATTTTTTTCCCCTTTTTCGTAGGTGGCCAAACGACGTTTTTCGGGTTCCTCAACTGCTTCGTTCACGTGGTGATGTATTCGTACTACCTGCTGGCGGCCATGGGGCCCCGAGTTCGTCCCTTCCTCTGGTGGAAGAAGTACCTCACCACCCTCCAAATGGTCCAGTTCGTAATGATGTTCACCCACGCCGCCCTGGTACGTGTCTAATATACAGGTCATCTCGTACATGACACGGCTCGCTCACGGATATTTTGCTGCATTGAAACCTACCAAAACTATTCCGTCCTTACCTCAGTCAATCTAATACAATCTAACATAGCCCAGCGTTATTTAGTATAATCTAATATAGCCTAACTTGACGATAGTTAGTTTCCGTAATTAGAAAATGTGCCACCTGTGTTTAATACATGTATGTATACACATAAAACCCACACACGTCTGAAAATAAATGAAGCTAAAACGTTTCGGTCCATCCTGGACGACTACCAAGTCGTCCAGGATGGACCGAAACGTCTCGTCCTTCCTTATATTTTCCAAATGTGTGTTTCGGGTCTCTTCATTTTCAACCCCACTGCAATGATCTTTTGATCAATTATTCATGGACAAATTACAGCATGACTTCTGTATGCCAGTGTCAATAATTCATTAATAATGTCAATTTGACCTCGTGTTCCCTTGCCCACATGATATCAACTTGTGTTAATAATAAAAAAAAAATAAAATAAAATGTTTATTTAGGTAAGGTACATACATGCAATAAATTTTTACAAAGATTGGTTGACTTATAGGTAGAGCTAGTACATACAATGCCTAAAGCCACTATTACGCAAAGCGTTTCGGGCATGCAATGTTTACCTCGTCCACAGACGATAGTGACTGGGTGTCCGGTGGGGATTCCTCTCATGAGAGTCATACTCGGTCTGGCCGTCATCTTCCTCATCCTCTTCCTTGACTTCTACATTAAAGCCTACAGACACAAGGCCAAGAGAAAGGTAAACGGAAAATTCGTCATTCTTTATTATGTGGAAAAGCTGTCTAATTTTAGTTTCATCATGTTGATAAGAAATGTATATGTTAATCACTCAGAATGTTCGGTAATATGCTTATTGTTTGTGATGTGTATATATATATATATATATATATATATATATATATATATATATATATATATATATATATATATATATATATATATATATATATTATATATATATAACACGTTGTACTGAACGGGGTGAGAATGGCTTGAGCTACCTCATCCCTTTGTGTGTATTTACATCTCAGTAAACCTATTTCAACCCTATTTAAATTCAATCGTGTAGACGTCAAGCCTTTCATCTTCAACTCGGAAATTTCACGCCATCCACTTGGACTGGTCGGCACAGCGACCGACGCTTTTCTTGCAGAGTCGGCGTTCGATCCTCGATAGTGCAAGTGGATGAACACCCGTCCTTCACTCCTGTCCTCACACCCCATCACTGTAGCCGTCGTCCCTCATTCACGCGTTATTTAATCGTTCTATCTTACCACTTTTCCTCGGCAATGATATTTTTCTTATTTTTGTCTCGCCAGGCTCAAGGCAGCCTGACCTGCATCCCCAAGCTCTCCAGTGTGTACGGGGAGAGGGAAGACCAACGCCTCGTCGGCCACATCAACGACTCCATCGAAATATCAAACGCTGCCGTATTCAACAAGTCCTTCGCCTTCCAGACAACTGCTGGAGACACAGACCAACACAATGTCAGGAGTCGGCAGCACGCCGACTAATATACACAAACTATTAACTGCCTAGCCAAAAACAAATAAGTACATTTAGTGGGGAACTTTAAAACGGTAACAGGGGGGGGGGGGGGGGGGAAGATAAAAAGACGAGATTTGTTGTTTCAAGCGCGGGTTGGACATTTATATGAGTGAGATTGGGTGGTTATAAATAGGAGCTGCCTCGTATGGGCCAATTGGCCTTCTGCAGTTGCCTTTGTTCTTATGTTCTTATGAGAATTGAGAGGCAAAAGCCATGAAGTACTGACCAAAAAGGTCAGAAAGGTCTTTTTTTTTGGCCAGAAAGCCAAAACTGACTGGTCTGAATTGACGTTGACTTTAAAGTATATTTTTTCACCAAAGGAATTTTTTTTTTACAGACTTGCCTGACATTGCATATGCCGAACGTTGGCAAGACTAGATGAACTAGTCTAAATATATGAGATCAATTTTTGTTTATTGTGGAAGGGAGTACCACCTCTGGCTGGAAGAAGGGGGACCCTTAGCCTCGGAGGAAACCACACATAACACATTAGAGGGAATGTTTAGGTCCCCCTCCAATACTGTTTCTGTGTGTTTTTCTCCTACCACCCCCACCCCCCTTCCTTTTGTCTTTCGTTGTGCTTTATTAGATATTTGAAGGTTACAAATTAAATGAATTTTTTGAAGGCTGTAGAACTGCCACTTCGAATCCTGCCAAGTGTACCAATGAGGTTTAGTTGTTATACATTATATCCTTTTCTTATACATTCTTTACTCTTGTTATATCCTCTTTACGCTCGTTATACATTCTTTACTCTTGTTATATCCTCTTTACGCTCGTTATACATTCTTTACTCTTGTTATATCCTCTTTACGCTCGTTATACATTCTTTACTCTTGTTATATCCTCTTTACGCTCGTTATACATTCTTTTACGCTCGATAGAATCTCTTTACTCACGTTAAACCCTCTTTTTAATCTTGTCGAACCCTTGTTGTATCATTAGAAGATAAGGCACGTACCAGCAGTTCATGTTAGAGGTAGCAACTGGGCATTATAAAGTGGGAGGAACAGAGTTAGAATTCACCAAACCCTTACTTGTCCACTTATTCTAAAACTCTTATCGCCATTATGGCGGCTCGGTCTGTGTTTATAGATGTTGGCGTAAGTACTGTTACTCCTGTCCTCTTACTCATTACGTCTGAATTTAGCCGTTTGCCCGTATGGCCGAAAATAGATGTAATTTAAAAATGGAAAAAAAAGGAAAATAAATTTGGGATTTTTTTTTTCCAATACAGTAAGTTAAGGGTCCTCTGATAGGTTAGGACGACAGGAAATTCTCCTAAAGTTTCAAAACGTTATGAAAACTGTTAATTGAAAGTTTCCTTTCCTAACCTTACCGAGTAAGCCAGACGACTCAAACAGAAAACGGGACAGTACATCCCTTTTGTGAGCCGATTTCATGTCAAATTAAGTTTATTTTTGGCCGCGCATACGAGCGAAAAGCGACGTTATTTTAAAGAGGACGAGTTGATTTACGACCTCCGACGCGCTACGCGGCCTCCGCACCCCAAGATTATTATTCTACGCTCTCGTAGAGCCTCGGAGCTCGTAAACTGACTCACTATAAGCCGCCCCAAGATGTAGATAAGACCAACAACTCTCGTTCAATGGGTTCGTGAATCCTGTCTCCGCTCTCCCACTACTGCGAGTACGGATTACTTAACATATTCTAATAGTCACCCAAACACCTACTTATACTTTTTACAGATGTTTAGAATGCTCTCGTGGAGTTGTGATGTCTCACTTCTCCTTATATATGTCTTGCATGACCGAGTTTTAAGGATACTGAAACAGTATTAGACTTTCCTTATACGAGTACTCTGCCGTTTCATAACTTGTGTGGAAGGTCTAGATTATAGAGGAATATTTGATAATAAAACCATATAATTATACTTGTGATGTTTTCATGCAATTCCCACTTCTCTGTTGCAATTCAAAACTCACTCAGGACGCTCATGCACATACTCTCATGTATACATGTTGATGCATCATGTAAATGCATTGATGCATCATGTAAATGCATTGATGCATCACGTAAATGCATTGATGCATCACGTAAATGCATTGATGCATCACGTAAATGCATTGATGCATCACGTAAATGCATTGATCCATCACGTAAATGAATTGATGCATCACGTAAATGCATTGATGCATCACGTAAATGCATTGATGCATCACGTAAATACATTGATGCATCACGTAAATGCATTGATGCATCACGTAAATGCATTGATGCATCACGTAAATGCATTGATGCATCACGTAAATGCATTGATGCATCACGTAAATGCATTGATGCATCATGTACTAACCCTCACGGGCACACGAGATAAACTTACAGAAGATTCTTGCCAATTTGGGCAGACGCTCTCATGGAGGCTGGCCACTCCTCACTCACACAAACGTAAACATTCCAACTTGGAAAGCTCGGAATAAGAAAATGGCAGATAACAAGCACCTTAGCTTGGCCTCTAAGCCTCTGGCTGGCTGACACAGTTACTATTATTTGTAAACTTGATAAGGGTGAGTGGGAGAGTGTAGCCTATAGGCCCTATAGGCTGTGTGATTTCAAATATCTGTGGCAGAGATTTGTGTGCCCGGTCAGAAAGGGGCAAGTCATGGGTGCCAGTACCTGTGACCTGTTTGGCCAAGTTTTGTATCGATCCGCCAGTCAGACCATGACCTGAGGTCACGTAACTCCTCATAGGGATGGGGGCTACGAATCAGCTTTTTGGTCTTGAGGCAAGAGTGATCCGAGAGGTGGAGATGAGCAGACGTTCTCCAACTGTTCCAAGTGGCGAAGAATTGATGCAAAGCAATGAAGGTAAACGTTAAAAAAACTCAGGCGGGCTTGTATGGCACAGGAAGGGCTGAGAAAGTAGCTTCAAGTGAAGTAGTTTCGCGTATCCAAGAGTTCCTTGCACACCGTAGATGCTTACAACACCGCACAGTAGGGTTTCTCCGTAGATATACTTAGAACCATAGATACTTTAAACATTTCCAAGTCTATACATTGCTCACCGTATTGTGTAGAATGTCTTCAAATATGTAAAATCACCGTTCATTATTGATTCCCCATAGAAGATCATCGGAATGATTATTGGCGGGGACAGGATGCCTATCGAGGTCTCTCTAGGCCAACTATACTGTCCTCTCCTGGATGAACAGAGGCATAAGGCGAAAGAAAGTCCCCAACCATCGCTGTCCTAAAATGCGAAACGAACCCGGGACCCTGGAGTGTGAGCCGACGACGCACGGACCGCTGGGCCACAGGACCTTAGCGAAATCTTTCACGTTTACTCATTTTCTTTATCTCACGCTGATACAAACACGCTGGACACGCTTTGTCAACTCTAAGCAACGTGGAACCATCACATATAAGGTCTGCTTCGGCGGGGACAGTAAGCCAGCGGCATATCTAAGGTCTATTACGTCTTCAATAATTTCACTGTTAAAGCACTAATGTTTGGAGGACGGGCTGGGTAATAGACTTTAGATATGGGGTCTGTGGGGTCGACAGCTGAATGGAATGGACTTGAGTCGAGGACGGGTTGCTATTATCCTATCCTATGAGTAAAAAGAAGCTGTCGCCCGTTTTCTGTCCAATATTTACTGCAGCTTGTTGAAGCTGCACCTCTTGTCCTCTCCCTACAACGCAGGGACTGTTGTAATTTCTAGACGGGGGACACTAGGACGATTGAGCACGTTTCCTCTCACCTGATGCTTCTGCTCACACAGCAGGAAGTTAGGTACCGAGGAATTAGGCAACAGTTGTGGGTTGCATTCCTGGGAACGATCATTAGTTGGCCTAGAGGGACCTCAGTAACTCAAGCGTCCTGGAGCCAAACAATGGGAATCAGCCTTGTTGTGTCTGATTTGTAGTGTTGTTAATCCTGAGGACCTCAACTTTTCCTGGTATAAGAGTTGTCTAGTTTTGGGACTATTTCTGTGTCACTGCGTTGGATTTCCTCCAAAGTAGACATATGAATGCTTGCATACAGTAGTTCAGAGATCTATTCAGTAAAATAACCACATTCTTGTATTCACTTAGTGACTCTAAAGGAACCCAACCGGCGCCTGTACGCATCACTCATCTCATATTTTTACAAAACTCAGTATTTCATATAAATGTATGAAATATAAATCATGTATGAAATATAAATACCAAAATAATCAGAGAAATAATGTAAGAACTAATTTTTATTAAAATAATATATTAGTTAGTGCTGTAAAAGTTTTCGTTTTCTTCAAACTCATTCATTTTATGCTAGAGAGAACGGATTATTTGCAAACGTCAACAACAGTAAATACATGCTAACATGTAAAATGATGGTAAGAACGCGCTAACATATTCTCACGGCTCCCACGTTCTCAATAGCGAGGATAAAATACTTATCTAGACGTATAAGAATATAAATTAATTCCATTTCTGTCCCGCCCAGGATTCGAACCCTGAATCTCGATTGTGGGACGAGAATGAACCCGACTGTACTACCCTGACCTTTATTCTGACCTTTCCCAGGATGCAACCCCCCCCCCCCCGCCGACACAACAGTGACTAACTCCCTGGAACCTATTTACTGCAAGGTGAACAGAGGCATTAGGTGCCTAACCATTTCTGTTCCAGGATACGAACCTGGGATTTCCGCTTGTGAGTCGAAAACGTAACGAAGCATATTACAAGACCCTCCGAGTCTCGTAGACCCGTACTACGAGAATGGAAACGTCAAGTTACCTGAATTTACTTGAGGGCGATCATTTCTAGTGGTCTCGGCGAGGACAGGAAGCCTACGGCTTGTCAAAAGTACATTGCATATTGCAGTGCAGTGGTCTACAGCCTCGGCTCCCAATCGGGGTTCCAGGGTTCGATCTCCAGACGGTACAGAAATGGTTGAACACGTTTCCTTTCACCCGATGTCTCTGTTCACCCAGCAGTAAAATAAGCACCCTGGAGAAGATCAGTATTGTGGCCTAAGTCAGCACTGCGACCTTGGAGGGACGTCAATACAAAGCCCGAAGTCCAGGCTTCCTGTCCCGACAATGAGTATTAACTCCTCCTTGTCATAAGGTCTTCTCTTGAGTTAGAGCGACGGTCTCGCTTCATGCAGGTCGGCGTTCAATCCCCGACCGTCCAAGTGGTTGGGCACCATTCCTTCCCCCCGTCCCATCCCAAATCCTTATCCTGAACCCTTCCAAGTGCTATATAGTCGTAATGACTTGGCGCTTTCCCCCTGATAGTTCCCTTCTTGAGTTCTCTCAACTTTCACACCGAAGGAACGGAACAATGACTCATGTAACCAGTGTACTGGACGAGTACAACCCGTCCTCACGAATGGTACGTCGTGAGGACGTGCTTTTGACGTATAAATTCCCCCCCCCCCCACAGGTCAAAAAACTAAATAGTAAAAATCACAGAGACTCGGAAAATTTATGTGAGGTCACGTTTTCTATTCGTGGGTCCTCATTTAGGTTAGGTTCAGACAATTAAGTACAGTACATTATTTTTAGGAACGTTGTGAACGGTCTGATGAGTCACAGGCCGGACTGTGGAGCCAGACGGGGATACAGGCCGGACTGTGGAGCCAGACGGGGATACAGGCCGGACTGTGGAGCCAGACGGGGATACAGGCCGGACTGTGGAGCCAGACGGGGATACAGGCCGGACTGTGGAGCCAGACGGGGATACAGGCCGGACTGTGGAGCCAGACGGGGATACAGGCCGGACTGTGGAGCCAGACGGGGATACAGGCCGGACTGTGGAGCCAGACGGGGATACAGGCCGGACTGTGGAGCCAGACGGGGATACAGGCCGGACTGTGGAGCCAGACGGGGATACAGGCCGGACTGTGGAGCCAGACGGGGATACAGGCCGGACTGTGGAGCCAGACGGGGATACAGGCCGGACTGTGGAGCTGCCAATCAGATGTACAATATATAAGAAATATTGACATCAAGCAGGAATTAAGCGCCGAAATTTTAATTCAAATAACGGGTTCTTAATCTGAGGGAAAAGGGGGAGGGAGGAAGGGGCTATCCAAACCCCTTTGGGGGTATTATGAACCAAATAAAGGGGGTTTTATGTAACTATCTCTGAATAGCTACAAATATATTTGCTAGATTAGATTTATGATATTAATGGTTCCTAGCTATCAACATGTAAAGTAAAACCAAGCTACTGATATCTTTTCAAGTCACTGGAAGATAATAGGACTGATGGTGGTGGTGGTAGTGATGGTGGTGGTAGAGGTTGTAGTGATGGTGGTGGTAGAGGTTGTAGTGATGGTGGTGGTAGAGGTTGTAGTGATGGTGGTGGTAGAGGTTGTAGTGATGGTGGTGGTGGAGGTGTGTATTGGTTTCGACAGTCTGGGAAAGGGGGGAGGGGGTTTGGGGCCCATACTGGGTAATCCTCTGGCGTCAGTAAGAGAGTCAAGAGCTGGATTTCAGGATTAAAATGGGAGTAAAAGGGGGGGTTTCAGGCCCAAGTTTTGTAAATATTGACTTAAACTTTGTATGTTTCAAAGGGGGTTACTTCAGCTTCCTGAAACGTGGCATTTTTTTATGGAATCGACCAGTCTGGTAAAGCGTTATGTATTACTAAAAATTAATGTAACAGTGACGTTTTCCATGACTCGACCTCGCAGAGGTTAGGTGGGTTGGTTGGGGTCACACTTTTCTGTTTAGGCAAAACATTTGTATTTCGAACGGAGTGGTGAAGCCTCGGACCTGAACCAGGCTTCGTCAAGCCTTCACGCAACCACTGTGGAAACCTCATTACAGGTTTACATATATTAAACAGGTTTACAATCCTGGAAACCTCACAACCCGAGGTTATTATTGTTATAAACAACCTCATAACACTTCGGAGCTCATAAGCTGTTTATATAACCATAAACAAAGTCACCATGATTGAGGAAAGATGTACAGGTTTCGTAAGTAATTGCTAAGTGGATCCCGGCCCGAATTCAGGGTTGTAATGTAATTGCGCATACCGTTCTGAGGTCAGCTAGACTCGTTATAACAGCGGCCCTCCCCCCAATTTTAACGTATTCCGGATTAAAAATCGATTTGCTCTCATATAAACATTAATATTTGTATATATGTTAAATTACTGTGTATGGTTAGGTGTAGGTTAGGTTAGGTGTAGGTTAGGTTAGGTTAGGTTAGGTGTTTAGGTTCTGTGGGCGATTATTTGTATTTGAAATACGTGGGTGAAGCATCTACAGAATTGCGTTTCAAACAGTGGTCGTCAGCGAAGCACTGTTCGGGAAATGTTCGAATGTCATCAGCTATGAATCTTGTGTAAACCGTTTTTCACTCATAAATCAACCCGTTCTCAGACCAAGTCCATTCCATCCAGCGGTCGACCCCAAAGACGCATTCATCAATTTTAATGTTCTGTTCATTCAAAACAGAACTTTTCTCAAATATAAATTAATATTATTATATATAAGCATATCGTGTATATGGTTATATATATTTCACCGTCATCCTTCTAACATCTTTCATCACCTAACATAACCTAACCAGGCACTGGTTAGGTTAGGTTAGGTATTTAGGTTCTGTTGGCGATTATTTGTATTTGTAATTCGTGGGTGAAGCATTGAACAAAATTCGTCAGTGAAGCACTTGTTTCGGATATGTTCGAACGTCAGCAGTTGTGAGTCGTGTGTAAACCGCTTTTCATTCATAAACAGGGAGTTTGGCGGGTGACTGGGGGAGGGGGGGGGGGGATTGGCGGCTGAATTAACGAGCAGTGCTTCGCGGACAACCTCTGTTCGAACCCCAAATCTGTAAATGCTTCACCCACGTACTTCAGATAGAAACAATCGATATCAGAACCTCAACACCTAACCTACGCCTAACTATACATAGAACTATATGTATTATAGTATATATTACTATACTTAGAACTATATGTATTATATAGTATATATTATACTTTCATGTATAATAATATTAATTTATATACGAGAACAAACCAAATTTTTAATTCACAGTGTGTTAAAATTGATGAGTGTGTCTGGGGAGGACGGCCGCTGCTTTAGACAGCCTAGTGTGAGGACGGGTTGAAATGCTTCTCCCACGCCCTTCAAACACAAACAATCAACATTAGAACCTAAACACCTAACCTAACTAACGCCTAACTATAACTTGAATCTTATTGTATAATAATAATTTATATACGAGAATAAATCTGTTTGTATTACGCAGTGTGATAGAATTGATGAATGAGTAGAGGAACAACCTCTCCTCTAACGACCCTGACCCGAGGGTGGGTTGGCAGGCCTGGTGTAGTCTATATAAAAAAGTGTTCGAGCGGTGTAATGTTTGCTACGTGGGGAATACCTCACGATACTCTAAAACACCGTAACTGTGAACACGTGGGTATCTCTTACCTTACAAGCAGGCACTCCCTCCTTTAGGCAAGTTACCTCCTGTGTGATACGATGTCACTGTAAATCCTCGAGTCACCCTTTCACTGTCACTGATTTCACTGAACTGACTGACAGTGGTTTTAGACCAAATCCACGCTGCTAGACTGAGACCCGGAGTTCAACAGCTCCGAGGCCTCGACTCCATTGTGTATACAGTAATTTTTTCTTCTGTTAGTAAGTTGTTGGGTCTTTAATATTTTGAATATTGTTTAATGAAGTTTTATTATTTTAGTCACTTTTTAGTCTCTTTGTGTCTCGAAATAAGCTGTCTATATATATATATATATATATATATATACCCCCTCTTCAGTTGAAGGAGAGGAGAGGAACCTTACAAATTAAGGCTCCTCTTTTACCCAATTAATTTTTTTTTTTTTTTTTGGGGGGGGGGATGTTGGGAAGGGTGGGGGGGGGGGGGTGAGTAATTGTGTTATTTTTCCTCACTGATCCTAGAGTTCTTCGTGTCTCTAAATTTAGCGGTGCTTTGTTTCCTGTTCACTGCCCTTCCCTTCTCTGTTTACTTTGTTTACCTTTGTCTTTCCTCTCCTAGGAAGCTGTCTTTGGCTGGGTTTTTTATCCTGTACCTCCTGACCCCTTCTCTAACCTCTCACTTTCTCTCTCTCTCTCTCTCTCTCTCTCTCTCTCTCTCTCTCTCTCTCTCTCTCTCTCTCTCTCTCTCTCTCTCTCTCTCTCTAACCAGTGATGAGAGGTAATGTTTTGGTAATAGAGACAAATAACAACAGTATTTATTTATCTTTGATACATATAGTTAGAGGGAGGAACACAACATAATGGCATCAAGGATTGACCTGCACGCCTGACCGGGGGGGAGGGGAGCAATGATCATTGCTCTGAGGCAAAAGGTCACACATAAAACAATATACAAAATGCAGATCTTCCTTGAATGCCATATGTTCTCCTCACCGAGGCTAAGGGTCCTCACTATAACTTAACAGGTGACATCCACTAATATTATATATTTCTTAAAAAAATATATGGTATATATATATTTCAGAATGATCAGTTTACAGACCTCAGAGATTTCAAAGAAGATAAAAGTCTTCGGAAGCCACAGAGGTGGAAATACTGGGTCGGGAAACCATGTACACAAACAGATCATAACATACACATTAATACACATTAATACACATAAAATAAAATTACACGTGAGTTACAGCTTGGAGGTTCACACTGATAACAGTATGTTATGCAGGGCACGATAACTGGATAACTAGATATGTTATGTAGGATAACTGCCCGTTGCACACACACACACACACACACACACACACACTCACACACACACACACACTAACACTCACACACACACACACACACACACACACACACACACACACACACACACACACACACACACACACACTAATACTCACACACTAACACTCACACACACACACACACACACTCACACACACACACTAACACTCACACACATACACACTCACACTCACACTCACACACACACACACTCACACTCTTACAATATATCATCTCATAACTATAAGGCCAACAGGAAACATATAACTATAATATCCTTATAAAGAACAGTATAGACCAAGATTATCTATGTACACATTATTTTTAAATTATCAGCTTATAATTCACACGAATAGGTTTCCGTACTTTAAATGGGTCGAGCAACCATAGCGTGCTATTTGAACGTTGTTAAGGGCAGAGTGGGCCCGTTGTTAAGGGCAGAGTGGGCCGTGTGCAGGTGAACGACCACTACAGACTGGTCAATCCACACCCAAACTCATCCTGCTAAAATTACATCAACTGTAAAATACAAGAAATACACCAACTATAAAAAGTGTAGTAGAGATGTATAAGTTTTTCACTGATGTAATCCGCAGTTGGCTTCGTTCTCGACTAACAATTTGGAATCCCGAGTTCGATCCCCGGACGCGACAGAATCTAATTGGCCACGTTTCATTTCACCTAATGCGCGTGTTCACCTAGCAGTAAATAGGTACTCAGGAGTTAGGCAAATGTTATGGGGGTTGCATCCTGGGGAGGGTCAGTAGGTCGACCTTAGGATTGGGGGGTTGGGGGAGAAAAACCTCGATATAACGCTGAAGTGCATATACACGCAGGCATCCTGTCCCTTACAAAACTGAATAAATTAATACATTTCCCCCACGATTTATGCAATTGGAATTTTAAAGGACGTAGGCAAGACCCGCCCTAGGCCTAAATGAGTAATCATAGGCCTAACGTCTGCAGTCATAGACACAATTTAGTACATATTCTATACTAAGCGTAAGAAATACTGGATTTGTTTGTTTGTTTCTTTCTCAGGCTCGCCTTCTAAATTGTTGGTTGAATACGATATTATTTTTGGGAATTTTGAACTTTTGAGAATTTTTTAGGGAAAAGCTTGGGATTTTTTTTTCGACTGGGCAGATATGCCGTTGTGACGCGAAGGGTGTATGACGATATTGACTGATGGAATGTGGTTGCTGGATCAGCAAGCGTGTGTAGTCACCTATTTGTGCCTGCAGGATCGAGCTCTTAGCTCTTGGACTCTGCTTTTCTAGCCGTTGGTTGTCTAATGTGCAATGACTCCTGGCCCTATTTCCCTATCATTCCCTATCATTCCTGCTTTTAAAGTCATGAATGGAGTTTGCCTCTACAATCTGCTACAATAAAAGTACAACTTGTGTGTGTGTGTGTAAGTGTGTGTGTGTGTATGTGTGAGTGTGTGTGTGTGTGTGTGTGTGTGTGTGTGTGTGTGTGTGTGTGTGTGTGTGTGTGTGTGTGTGTGTGTGTGTGTGTGTGTGTGTGTGAGTGTGTGTGTGTGTGTGTGTGTGTGTGTGTGTGTGTGTGTGTGTGTGTGTGTGTGTGTGTGTGTGTGTGTGTGTGTGTGTGTGTGTGTGTGTGTAGTTGTCTCCTACGCAGGTGTGTGGATGCCGACTCACCAGGTACAGTACTCTTGACTTGTCAGGTGTGTGTGGCTAAAGCCAGGTGTGTGACTAACGTTAACTGGAGGTATAGCTCAAGCGCGAGGCTGTGTGTGTGTGTGTGTGTGTGTGTGTGTGTGTGTGTGTGTGTGTGTGTGTGTGTGTGTGTGTGTGTTGACCAAATGATCCGGACTAAACATCTTATCTTTATCCTGGACAAAGTTCATAGCTGAGCGGTGGCCCTGACTTCGCGGAAACTAGATTGCCCCTAGCGAAGAGACGCCTTCCCCTAGCGACTTCGTAATCTCGTGTCGTCCTTCAGGTGTGGAGGAGAGTGAGACGACACGAACTCAACCACGCCCCCGTTGGAGGATGTCTGCGCAACACCGTTGGGTAACCCGTTGCGGATGCCGTTATTAATCCCCTCGGGCTTCCTGTTGCGGGCGTCGCCGAATGTCTTGTTCGAGACTGAGTTCGAAGCTCCGGATGGCGAGCCGATGTAGCAGACGTTAGGAAGACCGTCGCCCTGAGGAAGAAGGTTTCGTTACACTCAAGTTGATGCCAAAATTCCCATGCCGCCCCATATATATATATATTTTTTTTTTATAAAAGAAAAAAAATCAAAGTACATGCATTATATATGTAGTAATAATTATTTTCAAACACAAATTTGCAAAAAGAATTCAAGTATATTCATCTGGGTATATTATACTCAAGGAAATTGGCAAATGAGAAATTTATATATATATATATATATATATATATATATATATATATATATATATATATATATATATATATATATATATATATATATATATATATATATATACCTGCAAAAATGTCTCAAATTACTCATTTACGGTGAAAAATGGAGTGGAATGCTAATCAGAAAATAACAAAGGAATTTACTGGACCTTGGAAATCCCGCGTTTCCGGTACGCCTTGATGTAGAAGTCAGTGAAGAGGACGAAGAACATGATAGCGAAGCCACAAAGCCATCGTAGTAGCACGGGAGGAACGTCGCACTCCACGAACGCCAGCTGCAAGGACCAACAACCAGGGTAAGTCATTAGCGGTCAACACAACGGCGCCAAGCTCCGTTCATATCGCCATGAACGGAACGCCCTGACATGACACTTGCGCCACAAGGAAAAGTTTTCTCGTCAAATGATCATTGAAGTATAAGAAAAAGACTCACCGCAATAGCGTGGAAGAAGACGACTGTGAACTGGACCATCTGGAGGGTGGTGAGGTACTTCTTCCACCAGAGGAAGGGACGGACTCGGGGCCCCATGGCCGCCAGCAGGTAGTACGAGTACATGACAGCGTGGACGAAGGCGTTCAGGAACCCCATGAAGCTACCGTGCCCTCCTGATGGAGAGGAAAAAAATAATCATTATTACTTTCCTTCTATTTTCCTGGGGTCTATGAGACTCGAACTCCTCTACCTCTAGAGGCCGAAGCTCTATCGTTTATTTCCACGGAAGTGTGGATGACAATACCACTAGAGGCCTTAAGCTGGCGACATCAACCTCTGGCTTTTTGTAATAGTCACTAAAATTTACAAAATCCTTAAGGGATGGGTTTCTATTTATCCCTCTCAGAGTTGTAACATTCTTTAATAAGCTGATAATCAATTTAAATTTACGTATTGGGAATTATGCTGATGAGACGTATTGATTCTAATACAATAGAGCAAGCAATCTATATGCTGCTACACTAAGTTACACACACACACACACAAGACACCAAGTTCTAACTCCAACTGCTGTTTCTAGTCATCAAGATATACATCCTTCTAGAAATGTAGCTTTATGGTGCACAGGTAAACAATTTACAAACAAACTACAACCAGCCGTACTGAAGCATAAGGGTAAACTTACAAGTATTAAGACATGATTTACACAGACAGAGAAGCCATTTACGTCATTTACAAGCTAAATAAAACCAACTCTCGAGCACAAGGCACCAGCAGGGTGTCCACTCACACTCCTCACGAGGGGAGGAAAGGCTAATCAAAGGGTTATGATAACATGAAAGATATAAAAGGGTGTTGACAGGATAGACGAAGAGCCGGTGTTCACAATGAAGAATAGCGCACTACCAGACGGAACTGGGGCCCGGGAGCTGGAGTCACATCCAACCAGAACAAAGTGCCGCAGGTAAAGGAAAGAGGAGATCGTCGAGGCAAACTCAAAAAAGGAATTTCAGGAGGAAATAGAGTGAGAAACAGGATAAGCGAATGGCTAAAAAAAAACAAAAAATTAGAAGTAGGCATAACTCCAATTCTAATTCTGGAGGCTCATACAAACAGGATAACATCAGCAGCACACTCTACACTGACAAAGGTTAACACATCATTCAGGAACCTAATTAAGAGATCACAGTACACCACCTACGTGAGACCAGTCCTAGAGCAGGAAGCCCCATCGTCAAGCACTCACATCAAATGGCCCAGAAGAAATCTTCATAAGGTTCTAAAATTTGAAACGAGACGCACCCCAAAATTACGTCATATGGGAAAGCTGTACCTATCCACACTAGGAAGGAAGCAAGAGAGAGCGAGAGAGAGACATGATAGAGAGATATGCAATACTTATGAATATTAATAGAGAGAAAGAAGGAAAATGCTCATATTGAATACCAATAGAGCAAGAGGTCATGGTATTTGACCCCATAAAGGCCTGACAGCATTATTCTTTAGCGAAAGAGAAACAGGAAAATAAAATCAATTAAATGAGAAGCCAATATCTTTCACAGCTTCAAAAGAAGATATGATGTAAAATGTTGACTGGAATCATTGCATTGGATCTCCGGTAACAGGAAGGGCGGAGTAGATGAGATGGTGCTCGATCCTACAGGGCATAAAGAGGCGAGAACAATCCCCCAAGCACACACACACACACACACACACACACACACACACACACACACACACACACACACACACACACACACACACACACACACACACACACGCAACCCTGGAAGGACATCTAGGGTGAGTATACACACACACACACGTGTCAAAAAAACAGGTACCTGGCTGGTAGCGTATGCCATACCACACACTAGGGGGCATCAGGGCGTGATGGCTGACGTGAAGAACAGATATATGCTCGTACTTCTTATGCAACACGAAGAACAACTGGAAGCAAAAGAAATAAAGACAATTAGTCTTGAGACTGTCTATAGAGGACTACCATGAAGAGCGGACCATACTCTCCAGCGTCTCCACCTGAAGGTATCTTGAGGCAGCTGAGTCCTCTACAGGTTACTCCTGTACAGTAACTACAGGTTACTGAGTCCTCTACAGGTTACTCCTGTACAGTAACTACAGGTTACTGAACCACTCTACAGGTTACTGAACCACTCTACAGGTTACTGAGCTACTCTACAGGTTACTGAGCTACTCTACAGGTTACTGAACCACTCTACAGGTTACTGAACCACTCTACAGGTTACTGAGCTATTCTTCAGGTTTCTGAGCTACTCTACAGGTTACTGAGCTACTCTACAGGTTACTGAGCCCCTCTACAGGTTACTGAACCACTCTACAGGTTACTGAGTCACTCTACAGGTTACTGAGCCACTCTACAGTTTACTGAGCCCCTCTACAGGTTACTGAGCCACTCTACAGGTTACTGAGCCCTTCTACAGGTTACTGAGCCACTCTGCAGGTTACTGAGCCCCTCTACAGGTTACTGAGCCACTCTACAGTTTACTGAGCCACTCTACAGGTTACTGAGCCCCTCTACAGGTTACTGCGTCACTCTACAGGTTACTGAGCCACTCTACAGGTTACTGCGTCACTCTACAGGTTACTGAGCCCCTCTACAGGTTACTGAGCCACTCTACAGGTTACTGAGCTACTCTACAGGTTACTGCTTCACTCTACAGGTTACTGAGCCACTCTACAGGTTACTGAGCCCCTCTACAGGTTACTGAGCCACTCTACAGGTTACTGAGCTACTCTACAGGTTACTGAGCCACTCTACAGGTTACTGAGCCCTTCTACAGGTTACTGAGCCACTCTGCAGGTTACTGAGCCCCTCTACAGGTTACTGAGCCACTCTACAGTTTACTGAGCCACTCTACAGGTTACTGAGCCCCTCTACAGGTTACTGCGTCACTCTACAGGTTACTGAGCCACTCTACAGGTTACTGCGTCACTCTACAGGTTACTGAGCCCCTCTACAGGTTACTGAGCCACTCTACAGGTTACTGAGCTACTCTACAGGTTACTGCTTCACTCTACAGGTTACTGCGTCACTCTACAGGTTACTGAGCCCCTCTACAGGTTACTGAGCCACTCTACAGGTTATTGAGCCCCTCTACAGGTTACTGAGCCACTCTACAGGTTACTGAGCTACTCTACAGGTTTCTGAGCTACTCTACAGGTTACTGAGCCACTCTACAGGTTACTGAGCTACTCTACAGGTTACTGAGCCACTCTACAGGTTACTGAGCCACTCTACAGGTTACTGAGCTACTCTACAGGTTACTGAGCTACTCTACAGGTTACTGAGCCACTCTACAGGTTACTGAGCCCCTCTACAGGTTACTGAGCTACTCTACAGGTTACTGAGCCACTCTACAGGTTACTGAGCCCCTCTACAGGTTACTGTGCTACTCTACAGGTTACTGAGTCACTCTACAGGTTACTACGTCACTCTACAGGTTACTGACTCACTCTACAGGTTACTGCGTCACTCTACAGGTTACTGAGTTACTCTACAGGTTACTGAGCCCCTCTACAGGTTACTGAGCCCCTCTACAGGTTACTGAGCCCCTCTACAGGTTACTGAGCCCCTCTACAGGTTACTGAGCCACTCTACAGGTTACTGAGTCACTCTACAGGTTACTGAGCCCCTCTACAGGTTACTGAGCCCCTCTACATAATATTATTCAATGTTAAATTTGCTAGCAAAACCCAGGATGAAGATACATAGATCAATATTCATATGTACAGTTCCCAGAACAATCTATTTTAACCCTTAAACTGCGCAGGTGTTTAAAAGTATGATTTTGAGGTGAGCATTACTAACAATTTGTAACAAATCAAATGGGGCAAATGACATAACAATCTTACATAACAATCGTGAATCTTCTGCCCCGTAGTTGAATTTATAACTTATATTTATAACCCGTTTGATAAGATTCACAACATGTCAAGAACTCTTGAGCCCCATCACACCATCGAGCGATTATTCTCACGGCGACGACTCCTTTCTTTGTCCCGTCGACCTGGACCCCATCGTGAGTCCAGGCCTGGACCCCATCGTGAGTCCAGGCCTGGACCCATCGTGAGTCCAGGCCTGGACCCATCGTGAGTCCAGGCCTGGACCCCATCGTGATTACCTAACCAGTTAGGACAAGATACATAAACGTCTCTGATGTGAAAGCACATGTTACATAAAGATGTGCGGGTATATATGTGGGGGTGAGTGAATATGTGAGTTCAACTGGTGTTGTTGAACACACACACTAATCGACCAGCAAGCTGGGAGGGTGTACTCACCGTGTCGATGAAGTCGATGAACTTGGACACGAGATACCAGTAGCCAGTATGCATCATCTGTGGAGGGAGAGAGAGGGAGGGGATGATACTAAGGTTAGCCACATGGTATATATAAGATATATATAAGATATATATAAGATATGATAGAGCCCAGTAGGCTCAGGAATCTGTACACCAGCTGTGGAGGGAGAGAGAGAGAGGGAGGGGATGATACTAAGGTTAGCCACATGGTATATATAAGATATGATAGAGCCCAGTAGGCTCAGGAATCTGTACACCAGCTGTGGAGGGAGAGAGAGAGAGGGAGGGGATGATACTAAGGTTAGCCACATGGTATATATAAGATATATATAAGATATGATAGAGCCCAGTAGGCTCAGGAATCTGTACACCAGTTGATTGACAGTTGAGAGGGGGGACCAAAGAGCCAAATCTCAACCCCCGCAAGCACAATTAGGTAAGTAATGCTGTGAGGACGAGACTGGAATGTGTTTCTGTATGTATGTATGTATGTATGTATGTATGTATGTATGTATGTATGTATGTATGTATGTATGTATGTATGTATGTATGTATGTATGTAGGGACTAGCCTAATGGCATATCTCTGAACTTTTTCCAGCTTCGTCTTGTGCTTGACAAGGTACGGGCTCCATGTTGGGGCCGCATACTCCAGGATTGATCTTACATATGTGGTATTTAAGATATATATAAATATGTGTGTGTGTGTGTGTAATTACCTAAGTGTAATTACATAAGTGTAGTTACAGGATGAGAGCTACGCTCGTGGTGTCCCGTCTTCCCAGCACTCTTTGTCATATAACGCTTTGAAACTACTGACGTGTGTGTGTGTGTGTGTGTGTGTGTGTGTGTGTGTGTGTGTGTGTGTGTGTGTGTGTGTGTGTGTGTGTGTGTGTGTGTGTGTGTGTGTGTGTGTGTGTGTGTGTGTGTGTGTGTGTGTGTGTGTGTGTATGTGTGTGTGTGTGTGTGTTTAAGACTTTGAACCCTCGACATACACAGTCACTTCCAATAAATTTGAAATCAAGCAGGAAAGAATGATAATAGTTTGTTTAAATATCTAGAGTTATGTTTTATCTTATCTTACAAAAACATTTTGACTACGCACAATAAAATCACAATAACGTGATGAACAATTTATAAGATATTGAGACAACATTTTGGGACTCCAGGAGACGAGAATTCGATCCCATTATATGACCTCAGCATTTTATCAGTTTTTCTTTTTTCCATTTTATTCCCCGTGATCATTAGGAGCCTCGAACTAGGGTTGCTAAAACCGCGAACCATCGTTCTACCTACCTCACCACGAGCATCCACAATAAGGAAGGACCCCCGTAGTTCAAGACTCTTGATGGTCTTAGGAAATGAAATGTTACTACTTACGTCATTGTATTTCTTAGTGAATCAGTTTAAGCTTTTTTTTTTTTTTTTTTTTTTTTTTTTTTTTTTTTTTGAGATATATACAAGAGTTGTTACATTCTTGTACAGCCACTAGTACGCGTAGCGTTTCGGGCAAGTCCTTAATCCTATGGTCCCTGGAATACGATCCCCTGCCGCGAAGAATCGTTTTTTCATCCAAGTACACATTTTACTGTTGCGTTAAACAGAGGCTACAGTTAAGGAATTGCTCCCAGTAAATCCTCCCCGGCCAGGATACGAACCCATGACATAGCGCTCGCGGAACGCCTGGCGAGTGTCACCACGCCAGGCGAGTGTCTTACCACTACACCACGGAGACTGTTTGCTGGAGCTTTTGCTGGTGTTTGTGACTTACCCTCACAGGTTGTGGGTTGTTGGAGAAGTCGCACGGCTCACAGATCAGCTTGTACTCGAAAAACCATCCCGCAACTCCAGACTGGGGAGAGAACATTACACAAGAGTCAGTACTACAGAACATTACACAAGAGTGAGTCAGTACTACAGAACATTACACAAGAGTGAGTCAGTACAACAGAACATTACACAAGAGCCCAAAAATAAAGGCAGAAGGCCTATATTCGGCTGTTCACAAATCACAGTATAACATTTTAATCCGAAAGAACTTTTGAGAAAATTTAAAAAAAAAAGCCTTTTCAAGCAACATTCTTTACAGCATTTAATACTTTTAACATCCAATAGAAAAATAGATTTGTCTTTCTAGATAACGTATCATAGTATGTGAAACAGAATAATCCAAGTGATATCAGAAAACAATATAGCAGAGAAATAAATCTTGATTTAACAAATCTTGATTTGTCTTGTGTAAATCTTGATTTGCCTTGTGTAAATCTTGATTTGTCTTGAGAGCAGCACACTACATATGCAACACATGCGTAAACAGCTCAAATGACCAAGTCAGATTCGAAGCTTCGGCAGTTCATTGAAAAAAAAATATATATGGCATGGTAGAGATGGCACCTCTACAGAGTGGTCCTGTATGGCAAGGCTACGCAATTATTGGGACTGGCGGACAACTTCGGGAATGATTATACACTTTGACAGTCATATTTGAGTGATGTATTAATAATATTTATGTTCACTGGGGAGTTTAATCTCAAAATGTGGATTTTATTTGGATGAATTTAACTCATTTAAACTTTTCAAAGTTTACCCCCCTTCCCCCTCACACCTCACTGTGAGGTGTGAGGGAGGCTTGGTCAGTGAGAGACCTCACTGTGAGGTGTGAGAGACACCTGGTGGTCATATGAACAAGTATGAGTTTCTTAGCAACATGTCCTCATACAAACTACGTATGAATTTGGCCGTTTGCCCGTATGGCCGAAAATGGACGTAATTTAAAAATGAAAAATAATTGAAAATATATGTTGATTTTTTTGTCAAAAACATTAAGTTAATTGTCCTCTGGTAGGTTAGGAGGGCAGGAAATTCTCCCAAGGTTTCGAAAACGTGATGGAAACCGTTAATTGAAAGTTTCCTCTCCTAACCTAACCGAGTAAGCCGGAAGACTCAAACAGAAAACGGGACAGTATGTCGCTTTCGTGAGCCGTTTCATTTCAAATTACGTCCATTTTTGGCGATAGTGCGCATATACGAGCGAAAAGCGACGTTATTTTTAAGAGGACGGGTTATTCTGAGATCAGGATTTAACTAACCGATTCCCTTATGCTTAATCACTAATCCATGCCTGGGGTATCCACACGACCAGATCAGCAGGCGATGAGTCGGTGTTTATACTACGAATGGCCAGTTCCTATGTAATAATGATCCTTTTTGAAATCAAAACAATACCTTCAATGGTATTTGCACTACAGGGTAACAAAAATAACCAGGTGGGCAAACTTTCTCCCCCGGGCAGCTGTCCACCCAACCCAACCACTGAACTATACTAAGCTTCGAACTAAGCACTGAACTAAGTACTAAGAAGTAAGCTTCGTTCCAACTCTTAGGAAGTGCTTGCAATAACTGTAGAAAAGGTAATCTAATAACCTAAAATATGACATTAGCGTGCAAGTAGCTACTGTAGGCACGTATAGCTATTCAAGCATTATTTTGCAGGGTAGGAGATGTGAGCTAAAGCTGTAAGTAAGCTTGATAGGTATTGGTACATTTCAAAAGCGAACACATTATGAAATTCAAAATATTCAGCTTATAAAATATCAAAGTAATTGAGATTTTGCTGATGAGGTGAGAAACAATATGAAACTAATCCTAAATCTTAGATTATGTTAAATATATCCATTCATGTTTACTTAAGGTTTTTGAGAATACCAACTAATGGAGACCTTTAAACCTAACTTAGAAAATTGAATTATTTCCCCACACACAGGTATATATTATATATTGATATGAATGAGTCCGGCTGAAATAAAAACCAATATATAAAAATCTAAGCTAAGCGGCGTATATTATCCATTTCAAAACAGTTACGAATCCACACTTTATTAATTTTTCCTAATCAATATAGACAAATTATCCTCACCTCATAGAAGAGCCAAATAGAAAAGACAACTTGGAAGGCGTTGTAAGCAATCATGAGCGGTTTGAGTCCAGAGATGGGCTTCCTGGACTTCATGTAGAGAGGCCCCCACCAGGTGACGACGGCGATGTAGAGGAAGGAGAAGATGAGGGTCGGGTAGGGAGACTGCATCAGGAGCCATGAGTCCTGCCGACGGTCTGGGGGCAGCTGGCTAGCCACCGTCAGGTCCCCGTACATGAAGCTGAAGACAGTTATCCCTGCCGCCCATTTCCCGTTGGATCGTAGCTCGCTCAGGACATCTGGATCGAGGGAGCGAGTTACCTTTCTTAAAGGTTTAATTCAGAAGTATACATGCCTTAACCTCACACTGTAAAGGTTTTACAAGACAAGCACTTTAAACTATGCATGACTATACCATAAAGTAAATAATACATGCACACGAGAACTTATAATATACAGGCACTTAAGGCAGAACGGCCAAGGGAAGTCGAAACCATGCTGGCATAGAATATACATGAACCTCGTGGCATTTATTCCTAAATTTGGGACAAGCACAGTATAGGATCCTGGAAGAAGTAAAACTAATAAAGCCAATCCATTCACCTGGACTGTGAATGAACCAGCTTTTAATAAAGCCAAGCCTGTGTAGCAGTGTTCAACAAGTTCATCCCAGGTGAACGTTTTTATCAAAGCAATCTTAACTCTTTGATGAGAGAGTTCAGCATGTTACCTTTCTCAATTAAGTTTTGCTTATAAATCCCAATATTGAATAACATTTGACCTCTTATTTACTATTATTACTTAAAATGCTAAACAATGTTATTGTGCATAACAAAACAATATACTAATTAAAACAATTTGAACATGTGGCACCTTTGCTCCCTAAAGATTCAATAAAGAAAAGTTTTCTAAATGATTGAAGAAGAGAGTTTTCTGGAAAACCTGGGACCACATTATGTATTTATATACATTTTTAAAAGAAGGCCTAAATTTTCAGTTTAAAAACAGATCCTTCTGGAATCCTTCTCAATTGTGGGTGCTGGTGGTTCAGCAGGTAGAGCTGCGGGCTGTGTTTTTTGTGGTCTGTGGTTCGAGACTTCTATAGTGTCTTCCTTGGAAAAAAAATGTGTACAACGTCGATTTGATTTATAGTTTCTCTTTCCTTATGGCAACTTGGGCGTAACAGAGATACGTGCTTTAACAGCGATTATTCCTGCAGATTCTCACATCTGTTGGTTGGGCATCATTCCTTTCCCCCGTCCCATCCCAAATCCTTATCCTGACTCCATTCCAGTGCTATATAGTCTTAATGGCTTGGCTCTTTCTCCCTTCCTTAGTTAGATAGTTCCTTCCTTCCTTCACATCTGTTGGTGATGAGGGTTGAAAACTGCGCCTTACTTACCTCTTTCTGTGGACTGGACGGTGGGTTTCTGACTGGTCTTGGAGGCAGCTAAATCTTTGCGTTTAACTTCCTGAGGCGACATTCTTAAACTCTCCGACTGAAAGAGAAACTGACTTTATAGATGACCCGAGTCAAGTGCCTATACTAAGTCTAGACTTGGTCATAAGATCAGCACATATATGAAACAAATATACAATGCTTAGATAATTTAAAAAAAAATACATTTAGGAATTTAATATCAATTTGATGCATTGAAGATGATATTCAGAAATATACTACAGGTAATCATATTACAATTATCATGAATCAACATATTCATCATAGTGACCCCGTTTATTTACAGAGATAAGCATACAATGAGAGAAAACGGAGACCGTGGAGGATAACATTGATTTGGTCATATTACAGCTCACCATAAAATTTTGAAGCTAACGTCTGGTCTCAGGTTCGGTGTAACATAACACCTGTCTAACGATACCTTTTGCGATACCTGAGCCAGAACATTTCGTTAGAATCGCTATACAGCCATAACGACATAGCAGGCATCGCTATACAGCCATAATGGCACAGCAGGCATCGCTGTACAGTTATAATGACACAGCAGGCATCGCTATACAGTCATAATGGCACAGCAGGCATCGCTATACAGTTATAATGGCACAGCAGGCATCGCTATACAGCCATAATGGCACAGCAGGCATCGCTATACAGTTATAATGGCACAGCAGGCATCGCTATACAGCCATAATGGCACAGCAGGCATCGCTATACAGCCATAATGGCACAGCAGGCATCGCTGTACAGTTATAATGGCACAGCAGGCATCGCTATACAGCCATAATGGCACAGCAGGCATCGCTTTACAGCCATAATGGCACAGCAGGCATCGCTGTACAGTTATAATGGCACAGCAGGCATCGCTATACAGCCATAATGGCACAGCAGACATCGCTATACAGCCATAATGACACAGCAGGCATCGCTATACAGTTATAAAAAACAGCAGGCATCGCTATACAGCCATAATGGCACAGCAGGCATCGCTATACAGTTATAATGGCACAGCAGGCATCGCTGTACAGTTATAATGGCACAGCAGGCATCGCTATACAGCCATAATGGCACAGCAGGCATCGCTGTACAGTTATAATGGCACAGCAGGCATCGCTATACAGCCATAATGGCACAGCAGGCATCGCTTTACAGCTATAATGGCACAGCAGGCATCGCTGTACAGTTATAATGGCACAGCAGGCATCGCTATACAGCCATAATGACACAGCAGGCATCGCTATACAGCCATAATGACACAGCAGGCATCGCTATACAGTTATAATGACACAGCAGGCATCGCTATACAGCTATAATGACACAGCAGGCATCGCTATACAGTTATAATGACACAGCAGGCATCGCTATACAGTTATAATGACACAGCAGGCATCGCTATACAGCTATAATGATACAGCAGGCATCGCTATACAGTTATAATGACACAGCAGGCATCGCTATACAGTTATAATGACACAGCAGGCATCGCTATACAGCTATAATGATACAGCAGGCATCGCTATACAGCTATAATGATACAGCAGGCATCGCTATACAGCTATAATGATACAGCAGGCATCGCTATACAGCCATAATGACACGGTAGGCATCGCTATACAGCCTTAATGGCACGGCAGGCATCGCTATACAGCTATAATGATCCAGCAGGCATCGCTATACAGCTATAATGATACAGCAGGCATCGCTATACAGCTATAATGCCACGGCAGGCATCGCTATACGGCCATAATGACACGGCAGGCATCGCTATACAGCCATAATGACACGGCAGGCATCGCTATACAGCCATAATGACACGGCAGGCATCGCTATACAGCCATAATGACACGGCAGGCATCGCTATACAGCCATAATGACACGGCAGGCATCGCTATACAGCCATAATGACACGGCAGGCATCGCTATTCAGCCATAATGACACGGCAGGCATCGCTATACAGCCATAATGACACGGCAGGCATCGCTATACAGCTATAATGACACGGCAGGTATCGCTATACAGCCATAATAGCTTAGCAAGCATCGCAATATAGCCATACTGGCTTAACAAGCATCGCAATATAGCCATACTGGCTTAACAAGCATCGCTACATATAGCCATACTGGCTTAACAAGCATCGCTTATATATTTGTAGCTTTAATATATGATCTCCATTTAAGGTAGTTATAAGCGAATAACAACCGACCTTTATTGACTTTGGGCGTGACCACAGTGGTGGAGAAGGTTGTGTTGGTGGCGCTGGTGGAGACGGGCTGGTGGCGCTGGTGGAGACGGGTTGGTGGTGGTGGTGGTGTCAGCAGACAGTCCTGCTCACTCTGCGACAGGCAGCAGGAGGCGCAGCGACGGGGGCTCCGGGAGGTGGGAGCAGCTACGGCGGCCCGTCACAGACTGACTATCTCCCCGGGTCCTCGGGCAGCCGCTTCAGCTCGCTCGGCGATGCTTTCTATTTGACCTTGCTGCCGTCTAAGTTTGGCTAACTGTAGCCGTCTAACTTTGCCGTCTGTAGTTGTCTAACTTTACCCTCTGTGGCTGTCTAACGTTTGCTAACTGTAATCGTCTAACTTTGCCGTTCGTAGCCGTCTAACTTTGGCTAACTGTAGCCGTCTAACTTTGCCGTCTGTAGTTGTCTAACTTTACCCTCTGTGGCTGTCTAACGTTTACTGACTGTATCCGTCTAACTTTGCCATTCGTAGCCGTCTAAGTTTGGCTAACTGTAACCGTCTAACTTTGCCGTCTGTAGCCTGTGCATACTGACGGCAACTCAAACTTATTCTGAAATAGATTACATCAGTATAGCATCACTCTATATCATGGAATTATTAATGCAAGTGCAGGGCACATTCGTATGAAATGAAAAACAGAAAAGTGATCGACTTTTCAGTCTGCTTTGAACCACCTGATAAGGATCCGGGATCGTTCGAAACGGCAGTGTCACTTTCGTTTTGAAATTTGTTGGCTTGGCTATGAATTGCGTGTTTCCGGAATACGTGAAATTGGTCGTTAACAATATCCGTTTCCCGTGAAAGTGGCGGAGATTGAAGAAGAGGTTGTTATGAGGCCTAATCGCAAGCCTATCGTGACCTACGTTTGTAACGACTCACAGATGACACATGAGGAATACTGCTGTTAACCCCCACATTAACAACCACAACAACAACATTACTTCTACAGCAATATGTAAACACAGACGTCACCACAGACATCACCACAGACGCCAATCGTTGACGTCCTCATAGACGTCAATACCAGACGTCACCACAGACGTCAATAGCAGACGTCAGAATAGCAGACGTCAGAATAGCAGACGTCAGAATAGCAGACGTCAGAATATGAGTTAAACATTCAATTATCAAGAGAAACCAATAAGCCATTACGACTACATAGCACTTGGCAGCGATTAGGATTGACGACATGACGAAGGAATAGTGCCCAACCACTTTGACGGTCGGGAATCGAACACCGACCTGCAAGAAGCTCTACCATCCGGATCAGGTGGTTGTACGAGTTACACATGGAAGAAAAAATCATTACGCGATCGAAAAAGAAACATAATAAGAAGTAGTTTGCGCAGTAGCAAGGTTAGCACAGTGGGCTCACAACCAATTGCTGGGATACGTTAAGTAATAATTGTAATTAAGAAGCAATAAGATGCTTATCATAACATACTAAGAAGGTTAGGTGAGGTCGGTGTTTTCTATGAAGCTTTTCAAGGTAAACTAAAATATTCACAATCAATTAGTATGTCACATATGCACTTATTAAATAAGCCAATATTGACTGTAAGCAAGTGCGAAAACGGGTTGGGGTGTGGCGAGATGTCTTCAATCTGCACACACACGCTTCCTTACACCGGGTAACCCCGCCTCACCTGGCGGCTAGTAGAGTTAATTGACTGTTACTGGCCGCATTCTGCACGAATGGCCAGTCGTTAGGCTTGCGAGACCTCGATAAACCCAACGAGTTTCTTGTCCTCGACAGCATTAAACCATGTTATTATTTAATCAATATATAGATTTAAACCTTAAAGGGGGGTACCACCTCTAGTGCAAGTGTAGGGACCCATAGCCTCGGAGAAGAAAATAATGAGTACTCAGAGAAGACCTTGTGGATCCTCACTGAACACTTTAATATATATATATATATATATATATATATATATATATATATATATATATATATATATATATATATATTTATATATATATATATATATATAATATTGACTCAGATGATGCTTAATCGTAGCGAGGCTTAACACCAACTTTCAAATGGACCCGATGGCGCGATCGCGTAACAAACCTGTTTTGCCATATAGTGGATGATGGCGGAATTAGGTTCAGAGGCTGCAACTACTTTCTCTCCCCTGAGGGGCAGAAGTAACCATAGCGACCTCATATGGAAGGGGGCGAGGGAGGAACGCCCTCATATGAAAGGGAGAGAGAGGGAAGTAATTAGATATTGTCTCGCATTAGTCTTCCAACCCTATTATTATTATTTCGTTTAAAACTTCTCAATTGTGTTATATTTTTGCCCAATTTTATTTAAGACTCTCGCTGAAGGAACTGGAACTATCAGTGGGGGGGGGGGAAGTGTCAAGCCATTATGACTATATAACACTTGGAAGGGATCAGGATAAGGATTTGGGATGGGGCTTGGGAGGGAAGGAATGGTGCCCAACCACTTGTGGACGGTCGGGGATTGAACACCGATCTACATGAAGCGAGACCGTCGCTCTACCGTCCAGCCCAAGTAGTTGGACGAGACTCGCGGAAACATTTGTTAATTTTTTTGGTAAAAAAAAAAGATTCTTGCATAATTTTGGTGTTAATTCATCTTCATAGACATAAGAAGAACAGATCTTAACATTCATATCTATACAGACGACAGGTGTATACTGAGGAGTGTCCCCTCATCCCTACGTAAATACACTGAGAGTATACTCTTGTCGTGAACATAGACCAGGACTATAGTATACCTACTCGCTGCTCAATCAGATATTGTGGAGACCTTAATAACCACTTCGAAGGCTAATAGGTTTAAAGCCAGTAACAAGCCAGGTCCGTGAAGGCGCTATCGTGAGTCAACTGATTTATAACGATAGCTGCTAACTCCAAAACCGATTAAATATCATCGACTCTCTTTTTCTAAGTATTTGAAATGCTGATGCATTTGTTATATTTGAGTGTTGTATATTATTGTGGGTGTATTGTATGTTGTATAGTGTATGTCGTTTGTTGTGTTTTGTAGTGTATGTTGTGTTTTGTAGTGTATGTTGTGTTGTGTATGCTGTATACTGTGCTGTGTGTTTTATTTTGTGTCTTGTATGGTGTGTGTTGTATGCTGTATAATGTATCTGTGTGTATTGTTACATATTAATCCATCTATACCGGATCAAAATAATACTTGATCCTTCCCTCTCCCCCCCCCCCCCGTCCCATCCCAAATCCTTATCCTTATATTGTTGTTGTTATAGATTCAGCTACTCGGAACAAAAAGTTTCAAGTAGCACGGGCTATGGTGAGCCCGTGGAGGACTTACCTGGCACAAGAGCAGGGGCTGTAACTATTATCCTTACCCCTTCCCAGTGCTATATAGTCGTAAAGACTTGTCACTTTCCCCTTGATAATCACCTCACCTTTTCATACGAATGTCAAAAAAATAACCAGAATAAAAATGATTTTACCCATACTCATATAATATCCAGCAACTGATTAAAAAAAAAATTGCGAACGTTTATCAAAGTATCAGAAAGCAAAAATGGCTTGAATTATCGCTTCGAGTACACCACTCTAACCCACAGGGTGAGAATAGCTTGAGCTGCCTCATCCCTTTGTGTGTATTTTACCTCAATAAACTTATTTCAATTTCAAAAACTCTAACCCAGCTGCGACAACACACACACACACACACACACACACACAGGCGGACCTGTGTGAGAGGCGGGACCAAAGAGCCAGAGCTCAACCCCCGCAAACACAACTAGGTGAGTACACACACACACGCACACACACACACACACACACACACACACACACACACACACACACACACACACACACACACACACACACACACACACACACACAAAACACTACGCACGACTAGTGCCTAGTGATCCATATAACGTTCACTAAACCATTCGCGAAGAGGAAATATAGAGAGAGTTGTATTGGGTTGGGTTGGCGGCGCCGGAGTAGCGAGAGAAAGAGAACCTGTTTTATCGAGAATATTTATATGACAACTCTAGGCAACTTTCTCCGAAGCAGAAAGTAAAAAAAGTAAAGTAAAAAGAAAGTAAAACTTCAAAAAAAGATCGTTTTATTAAAAACCCAAAGGAAAACACTTTGGGTGTTTAATAAAAGTGTTTAAGTGTAAAACACTTCAACACGTCCCCCCCTCCCCCCCCCTCGAAAAAGCTTGGAGAGGGGGGAAACTGGATCTCTGCAGAAGGATTCATGTAAAGTGGGTTTGACCACTCTTCAAAACAGGAAACAAAGAGTTGAAAGTGAGAATGGACGTTTTCCTGTCCAGTTTAACACTGTGTATACTGGACTCTCCAGTGGATCTGACTTTATGTATACTGGACTCTTCAGTGGGTCTGACCTTATGTATACTGGACTCTTCAGTGGGTCTGACCTTATGTATACTGGACTCTTCAGTGGGTCTGACCTTATGTATACTGGACTCTTTAGTGGGTCTGACCTTATGCATACTGGACTCTCCAGTGACCTTATGTATACTGGACTGTCCAGCTCAAGTGGTTAGACGAAGTCTAGTAGCCGTTTTTCAGACGATCTCAAGAGACTCTCTAGTTCATCATGTAATATACTGTAGTCTCCCTAGTTCTGAGTCACCTGATTATCTTAGCAACGTGAGGAAACAAGGATAAGAATGAACTTACTTCCTCTGTAAGATTGTTTACATATATTAGGAACAGACTGGGCCCCCAGTACCGACCCTAGAGGCACTCAACTCGTTACCTCTCTGCATTCTGATAGTTCTCCTCTTACTTTGCCTTCATCCTTATAAACTTGCAAAGAGACGGAACACAATAATATCGCCGTACATCCCGACCACATTCTTCCTTAAATCTAGCGACGAATTTATTGACGTTCTGAAAACGAGAGAACCCCGTGGGGTCATGACGTTGAAAGTCTATTCACAAACGTTCTAGTGGAAAGGACGGAAAACCTAATTTTGGACTATGTGTATCAACAAGAGCAACAGAAGACAAATTTTATTAAAAGTACGGATATTGTGGTATTATTTGTTCCGTCGCCTATGGCACACCTCGCACCTTCATTTTTTTTTATTTTCCAATGGACATAACCATTGGAGAAACCATTGACCAAAATCTGCCTTATTCTATATAACTCCTCATCCACCTGCTTCCACCCAGAGCTGTGAGTGAGAGCTCGGTCAACGTAGGCGTTCACAAACACTTCGTTCTACACAAACGGAGCTTTTGTATTTGTGTCTTAAAAATGAAAATGTAAAACGCAGAACTGTCCTCTGTAAAATTGTTCCAACTGTCCTCTGTAAAATTCTTCTACAGAAACTTCTTCTCCACGGCCTACAAAGTGGAGGAAAGAGCCCTAATAGAGATCATTGAAAGAAACGTTACCCCTCCAACTGATGTCAACTAGAAGCTGCCTCCAGCAGTGCTGTGGTACTGTTCTCCACTATGGGGCTATCCCTTTTGGCCTATTCGTAGTTGGAAAAGTTGGTCGAGGGTGACA